CCCATGGTATGATATCTACCCAGGCGTAGGTTTCGTGTCCATCATCAGTACCAGTACATGCCCTTCGTCCCCCTATGGGGATTGTCCTCTCCGTTTCCAAAGCAGTCGTCCTCATTGCTCGCCATACTCCCTTACGGGTCGTGTTGGGTTGTTATGGCTGAAATCCTTGAACCTGGCTACTATTACAGCCAGGCGTCGCGAACGGTGAGAGATATATCGGGTAGTGATCATGTTTCATATCGGTACTGACCAGAGGTGTGGAAATAATAATAATAATAAATAAATAATTGTAATGGTAACAAGTGTTGGACGGGGAGGTGACAAACTACGAGAGAGATGAATAGGCAGGGGAGTATTAGAGGGGGATTCCATGTATCTAGACCCAAGCTTCGACTGCAGCCAGCAAAGGAGTAGCTAGATCAAGCAGGAGTCTAACAGACTAGAATTCTTGAGCCCGCTATTGCAGTACGGAGGGGGTGAAATAGCTGCAATCTGATTTTAGTATTATTGGGGTTGCTGCCTCGACATGATTAAGACTCGCTAGGTTGCTGTTAAATACCGGTCACAGCAACAGCTATCCTGATATTCGGCTATTTGAGCAGCACCGTGAACAGCCAGTTCTGTTGCTATGTCACCAACTGGGATGCCATTATGAAAATATGATTTTGGTTGTTGTAGAGCTGAGTATCACTAAAAGAAGTCATCATGTCCCTGTGGAAGACTACTAAGTGAGGACTGAAACTTATATAAAAAGCAGGGGCGGTAGCTACTCAGTTTGTACCAGCATTGCTAGGCCAGGCCACAGCTTGGGGTTGTTGTTACCAAACGTCACGACTAGGTGCCAGAGATGTTGTCAAGGAAGGTCGCGACAGACGGTGGCTAGTGCTAGGAGCCAGTACTACAACGAAACTTTAGTTGTGTGGCTTCTGCTGCTGAATGTTGGGTCCGGCTGTTTGAAACTGCGTCAGGGCGGTGGCTGCTGATGTCGTACTTTGCTATAAATATATATT